TAATTGACAGTGCCAGACAGTCTGCACTCAATGTGATGCTCCCAGCAGCTGCAATAGTCAATCCGTTGGTAGTAAAGAGGGGGATTGCAAACAGAAGGGAGTTTTGCGAGGGGTGCTGTCTTCGTGAAGGAGGGGCAATTTACAGGAGCTTGGGGTATGTGGCTGTCTAGAGTGTGTGTGTTTATCTTTCGGGGTTCTGGGCTTGTGTTTCGTTGTTTGTTTGGAGATACGTGCGCTGCGCTGTTGGTTTGCCTGAAAGGCCGTGTGCTCAGGCTGGCAGTTGGAATTAGGTTTTGAAATCTAAAACTCTCTGCTCATTGGTTGAGCTGGAGAAAAGGGGAGGGGCTATAAGGAAGAGCAGGGAGCTTGCAAACTGGGCAATTGCAAACAGGAGGGAATTTGGAGAGAGGAGTGTAGAAGCGTTGCTTAAAAGAAGCTGGTTACTTTAGACATTCATTAAAAGTTGATACTAAACTATATCCCAGCGCAGAGTTAGGGCTATCCAGTTGATCGTATCCAGTGTAACATGTATGATTATCTGCCCGATGGATCTCTTTGCCAGAGGAGGTTGTGAAGGCTTGGACTAGGATAAATTCAAGGAGGCTAGGTCTATTAATGGCTATTAGCCAAGATGGGTAAGGAATTGTGTCCCCAGTCTCTGTTTGTCAGAGGGTGGAGATGAACGGCTGGAGACAGATCACTTGATCATTGCCTGTTCGGATTACCCCCTCTGGGGTACCTGGCAATTGCTACTGTCACCAGACAGGGTACTTATGTTCTTATGAGTGGGCCTAGCTCAAGGAATGACCCAGACCAATCATTATTGCTGCTTGACCACTTCCTTGGAAACCTTCCGCCAGTCATTTCTCTGCCAAATTTTCATATTTGTTTCCAGGACTGGTCATGATCCCACAGAACTCATTGTGTCCAGTCCCCTGCCTTCAAAGCAGGACCCAGAACTGTCTAGACTATCTCTGATAGACATTTAGCTAACCTGCTCTTAAATATCTCCAGAGATGGAGATTCCACACCCATCCCCAGACAATTTATTCCAGTATTTCACCACCCTGACAGGTAGGAAGTTCTTCCTAATGTCCAACCTAAACCTCCCTTGCTGCAATTTAAGCCCATTGCTTCTTTTCTTGTCCTCAGAGGCCAAGGAGAACAATTTTTCTCCCTCCTCCTTGTAACACTCTTTTAGATACCTTAAAACTGCTATTATGTACCTTCTCAGTCTTCTCCTTTCCCAATTCTTTCAGCCTTCCCTCTTAGCTCCTGTTCTCTAGACCTTCCATTGTTTTTGTTGCTCTTCTCTGAACCTTCTCCAATTTCTCCACATCTTTCTTGAAATGTGGTGCCCAGACCTGGACACGATACTCCAAATGAGGCCTAATCATTGCAGAGTAGAGTGGAAGAATGACTTCTTGTGTCGTCCTCACAACACACCTGATGATACAGCCCAGAATCATGTTTGGTTTTTTGCAACAGCATCACACTGCTGACTCATATTTACCTTGTGGTCCACCATAACCCCTAGATCCCTTTCTGCCGTACTCCCTACTAGACAGTCGCTTCCCATTCTGCATGTGTGAAACTGATTGTTACTTCCTAAGTGGAGCACTTTGCATTTGTCCTTATTAAACTTAATCCTGTTTACCTCAGACTATTTCTCCAATTTGTCCAGATCTTTTTGAATTATGACCCTAGCCTCCAAATCAGTCACAATCCCTCCCAGCTTGGTATCATCTGCAAACTTGATAAGCGTACTTTCTATGCCAATATCTACATCATTGATGAAGATATTGAACAGAACTGGTCCAAAAACAGAACCCTATGGAACTCCACTTGTTATACCTTTCTAGCAGGATTGTGAACCGTTAATAACCAGTCTCAGAGAATGGTTATCCAGCCAGTTATACACCCACCTTATAGTAATACCATCTCTGTTTTATTTGCTTCATTTTTTTATAAGAATATCATGCAGAGCGTATCAAATGCCTTATTTAAGTCTAGGTATACTACATCCCTCACATCTCTCTTATTCACAAGACTCGTTTTTCTTTCAGAGAAAGCTATCAGATTGGTTTGACATCATTTCTATGCAGCGGAATAACTTGCTTTTGTGCAATTTATAATGACCCTTTGAAAAACTTCCAACTCTCTTGAGTTGTTTTTCCCCTCAGTCTTGCCTCCCATGGGACCTTACCTACCAGCTCTCTGAGCTTATCAAAATCTGCCTTCCTGAAATCAATTGTCTCTAATTTACTTTTCTCCCTTTTATCATACCTTACAATCATGAACTGTATGATTTCATGTTTGCTTTCATTCAAGAATCCTTCCACTTTCAAATTCTCAACCCCTTCCTTCTTACTTGTTAAAATTAAATTTTGAACAGCTTCCCCCCTGTAGCTTTTTCAACCTTCTGAAATAAAAAAAAATCTACAATGCAGTCCAAGAACTTATTGGATAGTCTGTGCCCCGCTGTGTTAGTTTTCCAACATATGTCTGAATAGGTGAATTTCCCCATCAACACCAAAGCCTGCACTTTGGATGATTTTGTGAGTTGTTTAAAAAAAGCCTCATCCACTTCTTCTGCCTCAGTAGGTGGCCTGTATTAGATTCCTAGCATGACATCCCCCCCTTTTTTTACCCCTTTTTGCCTAACCCAGAGACTCTCAACGTGTCTGCCTTTTATGTCCATCTCCACCTCAGTCCAAGTGTGTACATTTTTAATATATAAGGCAACACCTCCTCCCTTTTTTCCCTGCCTATCCTTCTTGAGTAAGCTATACCCTTCTATACCAATATTCCAATCATATTATCCCACCTGGCCTCTGTGATACTAATGTCATAATTGTATTTATTTATTATCATTTCCAGTTCTTCCTGCTTATTACCCATACTTTTTGCCTTTGTATATAGGCATCTAAGATACTCATTTAATCTTGCATCCCCGTTCTGCCTTTTCCCTCCTTTCTCTCTGCTGTTATAGCCCACACTCCTCCTCTTTTCTGACCCCTCTCCCAAGTCTCCATATTCTTTACTTACCCCTGTGCTTTGGTCACCTGTCCCTGTCAAACCTCATTTAAAGCCCTCCTCACTAGGTTATCCAGTCTTTATCCAAATACGTTCTTCCCCTTCTTTGAAAGGTGAACACGATCCCTGCTTAGCAGTCTTTCCTAGAATAGCAGCCCATGGTCGACGAAGCCAAAACCCTCCTGGTGACACCATCCTCGCAGTCAGGCATTCACCTCCAGGATGCACCTGTCTCTGCTTGGGCCCCTACCTTTGACAGGAGGGATCCAAGAGAACGCTACCTGTGCTCCAAAATTCCTTACCCGTACTCCCGGAGCCCTGTAGTCACTCTTGATCTGCATCACACCTTGCAGTATCATGAGGGAGTAGTCAGAGGGCCAGCTAATCCTCAACAATGCCTCCGTAACGTCTCAGATATGGACCCGCAGCAGGCAGCACCTCCCGAGATGACATGTCAGGGTGACAGATGAGTGCCTCCTTCCCCATAAGAAGAGAGTTTTTGACCACCACTGCCCTATATTTCCTATTCGCAGTGCTGGTCCTGGGGGTACGAGACTTCTCCTCTTGTCTTGTATGGGGTGATTTCTTATCTCCTGTATCAAGAAGAGCATAACGGTTTCCTAGTACCACGGCGGGAGTGTTCAGATCAGGGGTGGAGCAGTGCCTGATGCCAGAAGTAACCAGCTTCCAGTGTCCACTCTGAGCCATCTCCTCCTCCACCAGTGGTGCATCAGCAGTCCTGTGTTCCTGGACAGCTATCTCAGCTGTCTCCACATGAACACTGTCCAGGAACTGCTCCCCACCATCTTAATTCTTTTCTTCCATTTTTTATTCATCTGAGTTTTGACCAAAAGTGTTTCACCAGCAATGACTGCGGCATTGTGGCTTTTGGCTATCTCATGTACTCTTAAAGAAATTACAGTTATCTTTCCTGGGGTTATTTTTTCTATTTTTTTTCTCCCTATCATTCCATCAACAATGGAAAAACCTGTTGAGAGACTTCATGTCCCTAGATATGAGAAGTTAGGAAGTTTCCCTCTTTTTTCCAGGTTAGTGCAATCATATTAATTATTTATCTTCCTCTCCTCTAGCGTATTCCCCTTCTTTGTCTCCTCCCTAATCTAAACTGTCCCTGATGTTCAGTCTGTCCACAGAGGGCAGGAACCCCCATTCTCACAGCCTGTCTCACAAGCCCCCTTTACATCAGTTGTGTCCTTTCCGGAGGCTGGGGGATGAAAGCTAAGCACATGTCCCGAGCATCTTCAGATTGTCAGGCTTTCACCATTGCTTTGACTGAGCAAGGTTTCTATGCTCTTACTGTCTGTGACCCCCAGGGCTTTTCACTGCCTGTTCTATCTCAGATGGTTCCCTCTGGCACACGTCTTGGAAAAGGTTTGTGATTATTATCCACGCTCACATTTGGAGAAACCATGCAAATGTGGGGCTCTCTATAGCACAGGATCTCTAGCCTGACTTTCAAGGCATTAAGAACCAAAGGGGGTAACAAGGGTCCCACCACACTTTTTCCAGTTGGTGTCTATTTCCAAGGTTGAGGATGGCACTCCATTAAATATGGAATTAACATTTGAAAATCCAGCTGTTCATCCATCATTTGTCTGAACAATGAAAATGTCCGATTTCAGTGTGTGAGGAGACCAAGTGACCCAACCATCACACCCGCTACCAGTCAACCCTGTGTTGCCTTTCCTTCCAGGATTTCTCTTACAACCACAATCCAAGAACAAGATCAAGAGGAAGTCAGGAAAACGCACGAAACATACAAGAGGCATTCTTCTATCTCAGAGTTCAACGCATTCTCCTCTACTCCATGTTAGATTCTAACACAACCAAGGTCATCAACCCTTCCACCTTCATCCTGCAGGGCATTCCTGATCTCAATCCCCTTCTGCATCATGTACGTTATGACCCTCTTGGGGAACTTCACAATCCTGTGTATCGTAAAGATGGACTTGAGCCTCCATGAGCCCATGTACTATTTTCTCTGCATGCTGGCTATGAGTGACCTGGGTCTGTCCACATCCATTGTGCCCAAATCACTGAGCATCTTCTGGTTCAATTCCAGTGAGATCGATTTCAGCGCCTGCCTCGCACAGCTGTACTTCATTCACTGCTTCAGAGTAATAGAGTCTGGTATCCTGGTGGCCATGGCTTTGGATCGCTACGTGGCCATCTGCCTTCCCCTGAGACATTGCACCATTTTGACAAGTGCCATGCTGACCAAACTTGTCCTGGCCATCGTGCTGCGTGGTGGAATGTTCGCATTGCCCTTTGTCCTCCTGGTGAGGCAGTGGTCATATTGTGGAACTAACATGGTCCCCCTGCCTTACTGCGTGCACATCGCTGTGGTGGGGTTGGCGTGTGGTGACACGCGAGCCAGTAGTTATTATGGCCTCTTTGCGCTGTCTTGTATTAATGGTCTGGATATGATTTTTATTGTTGTGTCCTATATTCTGATCCTCAGGGCCATCTTCAGACTCCCCACAAAGGACGCCCGGATCAAAACTTTCAAGACCTGCATTTCTCATCTCTGTTCCATTTTAGTGTTTCACATCCCAGGTTTCTACTTCTCCTTCTCGGGACGATTTGACAAGAAGAAGCCTCACCCTGTCCAAGTTCTTATTTCCGTAATGTACTACGTAATGCCCCCCATGCTGCACCCCATCATCTATGGTGTGATGACTAAACAGATCTGGAGCCGGATACTTTATTTCTTTGTTCACAAAGGCTCCTAACTTCACAAACGCACCTAACTGCTCTGTCTTAGCAACCATGGCCTGTGCAGAGCTGGCTGGGGAGATCGTGCTTAGATCTCTTCACCAAGTGGCTCAGTCACAGAGTCATAAAATCCTGTCCTGATCTTACTGTGCTCTGTCAATGAGAATAACTGGGGCATTGGGCTGTGTGGAAATCGTTAGCTCTTAGGGTGTCCAAGTTTCTAATTTCTTGTAACTGTATCCTTGTCCCCTGAGTAGTTCCTCAAACACTGACCCCTAATTGAAAACCATGCCCTGGGTCTAAACATATAACTATAGATGACTCCTTTCCTTACACGGAGGTGGAGTGGCCTCCCACATATAGGCTATGTCTAGACTGCAAGCCCCTTTCGAAAGAGCCTCTTTTGAAAGAGAGCGTGTAGACTGCACGGAGAAATTTCAGAAAAGCGGCTTGCTTTTTCGAAAGAAAGCATCCTGTGAGTCTGGATGCTCTCTTTCGAAGAAGCCCTATTTACATTGAAGAACGCCTTCTTTTGAAAGAGGAACTTTTGAAAGAAGGCGTTCTTCCTCGTGAAATGAGGTTTACCGCCGTCGAAAGAAAAGCCGCGTTCTTTCGAATTAATTTCGAAAGAACGCGGCTTGAGTCTGGACGCAGGGGAAGTTTTTTCGAAAAAAGGCTACTTTTTTCGAAAAAAACCCTGAGTCTGGACACAGCCATACAAAGGGGAGGAAAAGCCTCTAAACCACAATGCTTTTCCACATGTCTAGATTGGTGCTTTTTTGCAGAAAACACTACTGTGCTGTCTACACTAGCCCTTTTGGGCAAAAGTCTTTCGGAAAAAGACTTTTGCCCGAACGGGAGCAGCATAGTTTTTCCGGAAAAGCACTGATGATTTTACATTGATTGTCAGTGCTTTTCCGGAAATTCAAGCAGCCAGTGTAAACAGCTGGCAAGTTTTTCTGGAAAAGCGGCTGATTTTCTGGAAAAATTTGCCAGTATAGACACAACCAAGGTGTGTTTAGTCGAAAATATGGAGCTTTGGATCTAGCAGATCAGCCCCCTGGGGAGATGTGAAACCCCACTTTCTCATTTGACCATACTGTTTTCTAAGATAAATCGTCTTGAAGACACTAAGCTTTTTTTTTAAATCATTCAGTAATGAGACAGCAGTGGGTGGGGAGAGGCCTGTATCAGTCAGCCACCCTCTTGATCCTGTACTTTCTGGGATCATATGATATGGTCTCTGCATGGCTCCCAATTGTAGTAAGATGAGAGCCTGAAACGTAAGCTCATGTACCACAGGGCTGGTCTGAGGCCTGGGGCCTAGACAGCAATTGTCAAGACTTTGTTAATATACAGCAAAGTGAAGCTGTGAGGAAGAAGCTGTTCTCTCGCTCACAAGTGACTCAAGAAAGATGTGGAGAAATTGGAAAGCGTACAGAGAAGAGCGACAAGAATGATTAAAGGTTTAGAGAACATGACCTATGAAGCCAGGCTTCATGAACTGGGCTTGTTTAGTTTGGAAAAAAGAAGATTAAGGGGGGACATGATAGCGGTTTTCAAATATCTAAAAGGGTGTCACAAGGAGGAAGGAGAAAATTTGTTCCTCTTGGTTACTAAGGAAAGGACAAGGAGTAATGGGCTTAAAGTGCAGCAAGGGAGGTTTAGATTGGACATTAGGAAAAAATTCCTAACTGTCAGGGTGGTCAAATATTGGAATAAATTGCCAAGGGAGGTGGTGGAATCTCCCTCTCTGGAGATATTTAAGAACAGGTTAGATAGACATCTGTCAGGGATGGTGTAAACGGAGCTTGGTCCTGCCTTGAGGGCAGGGGGCTGGACTCGATGACCTCTCGAGATCCCTTCCAGTCCTATTATTCTATGATTCTATGATTCTATAACAGGGCTGGTATTATAGAAATGCTCAGATATAAAAGGATCTAGGCGCAGCGTATGAACACATTCCAGGAGGATCATAACAGAACACATTGTAAAGAAACACATTCTACCACCTCCTACCCCGACAGACACACAAAACAAGAACAAACAGACCCAGCTGATCTCATGATAGATATTGATCGAACCCCCATGTACAAGGTAATGGGTAGACCTAGGTAATGGAAGAGGAGGCCAGCTCAGTACATCAGGAGTGTTTGTAACTTGTTGGTGCCTGTGTATAAAAGCTTACCCCAAAGAGATGTTTCTCTCAAGCCAAGGGGGAAATGTCACATTCCTGGGCATTACTGATATGAGTCCCTTTTCAAGGAGTAAATATACATAGTGCTTCAATAGAATCCACTGCTAATTATTGAAGTTTTGTTGCAAATAAACCTGGAGGGGCACTTTCAATCCATGTGTGGTTTTGTGGACTTTGGGCTTCCTAGGAGTTTGCTCTTTGACACATACACCCCAGCTGCGTCTAGACTGGCAAGCTTTTCTACGAGAGTGAGTGCTTTTGCGCAAAAAACTTGCCAGCTGTCTACACTGACTGCTTGAATTTGCGCAAGAACACTGACGATCTAATGTAAGATTGTCAGTGTTCTTGCGCAAATACTGTTCCTGTTCGGGCAAAAGCCCTTTTCCGGATATGTTTTTGCGCAAGTGGGCCAGTGTAGACAGCTAAAAACTGTTTTGCACAAAAAAAGCCCCGATGGTGAAATGACCAAAAATCTAGATGCTCTTTTCCGCAAATGCTTTTCTGTTAAAAGGCTTTAAAGAAAATCATGCCAGTCTAGACGTAGCCCCAGAGAAAAGGTTATCATCATTGATAGACCAGGAGACCTGTCGGGACGTTACACCAGCCAATCCTGATTACTACACCTATTGCTAAGGCATGAGATTACAGAAACTGAAAGGTCGATAATTCATATACTTTAGACACCAGGCTGGAAAAATTCTGCCAGTGATTTTGGGCTAAAAACTAAGTTCACATGGACAGGTTTCAGCTTACAACCCTGGAAATCAAAGTCCTCTTCTGGCAATAGTCACATCTCAAGCACTACAATGAGTGCAAGGTTGCTGAACAAATCTCTTCAGAGCAGTTCGTCCATCTTTCCCCATCCTGGAGGAGAGCTTGGGTAATCCAGCAACAACCAATCCTGCTTAGTGACGATCTCCTTAATGAAAGGTTTTTTGACTGCTGAGACCCTCTAATGCCAGGAGCCCAAGTCCTTGCCTCCACACCTGGTTTGATTATCCGAGCCAGGTGATGAAACCTAATCCCAAGGCCTAACAATGCTCTACCATACAAATTCAGCACATTGAGGCGACTTACACCCATTGGCAGCCTGAGCCCACCTGCCAGAGACATTCTGGTGGCTCTGACAGAGTGAAGAGTCTCTTGTCTCTTTGTCACTCTTCTCCATATAGGAGTGTCCAATTTTAACCTTGACCAGGAGGACGACCCCACCTTCCCCTGGGTTTATGAACCAGGTCCACAGAGACGTGACACAAGCCCTCAGAATTTCACAGTGGCCCCGACAGGAGCTAACAGTGGATCCCCACCATCACATGGATTGGAACCCCCCAAACTCAGGATGCCAGGACCCAGCTGGTTCTCCCCTGCTGTCCTAGGCCCACCCAGAAGCTTCCCAAGAACATTCCACCAGCTGGCTATTAAGGGCAATAGAAGACACTGACTGAAGTCTCACTTCTACTGGCTGGGAGTCTATCGTGAGGTGAGAGATGATAGTAGTTCCTTCCCATGCACCAGCTAGCTGCCCCATTGGGAGTGTCAGAAGCTCCGGAGGTCCCCTTGTCTGTAGTGGGAATCCCCATTGAGAGAGTTCTCCGGCATCTGGTGGGACCTCCTGAGCCAAACAGAAGAAAAAGAGCAGCCCTACCATGACAATCCTCTGAACCTTTAGTGAGCACTTGAAAGACTTTTGAGTACTCTGTGTGCCCCTGTCGGGCCTGCCTCTATCTTCCTAATGTGCTTGAAACTGATGAGACACAAACAAACTGATGAAATGGAACATCATACTGTATGACGACCAGATGACATTTACCTAAGAGTTTTGAAAGAACTGTAGTTTGTAAGCCATACTTTATATCAACTTCTGTGCCAAATTACAGTACAATGGCTAATGTGATGCCATTTTTTAAAAGGACCGTAGAAGTCATCCCGGAACTTCTATGCCAGTAAAACTACCTTCAATATGGCCACATTCCTAGAAACTATAACGAAGAACTGAATTGTCAGACACAGAGCTGAACATAATTTGTTAGGGGAAAAACTCAACATGAGTTTTATAAAGGGAAATCATCTATGAATAACATAGTAACTTCTGGGGGGCATCAACAAATATATGAGCAATGGGATCCAGTAGACATAGTCCACTCTGGGGGTGGAGTGAGCCGAGACGGTGAGCATGTGGCTGAGGATGGGCCTGTGAGGGATGGAGGAAGGGGAGTGTCATAGCCAGGAGGGCTAACCAGCAACTGAGGACAAAAGGGTTGAGTAGGTCTCCTGTCCCTAGCCAGGTATCTGGTCACCCAATAGGAATGCAGGTAGGGATTTCAAACGTGGACAAAGGAATTTTTATCTTTTCCCTTCTTTGTCTGGGTCAGAGTGTTTTCTTCCAGGTAACAGGGTGATGGGAGGCCCATCTCTCTCCAAGGATGGACTCAAGATGTAAGTAGGGAAAAGTTCTCCTTGACTTCGGATGATAGGACAAGAAGCAATGGGCTTAAATTGCAGGAAGGGAGAATCAGACTGCACATTACGAAAAGCTTCCTACCGGTCAAGATGGCTAACTATTGGAATAAGTAGCCCAGAGAGGTTGTGGAATCTCTATCGCTTGAAAAATCAGCGAGGAGTCGTGTGGTACCTTATAGACTAACTGAAGTGTAGGAGCAAAAGCTTTCGTGGGCAAAGACCCACTTCGTCAGATGCATGTACTGGAAATTTCCAGAGGCAAGTATAAATTCCAGAGGTCTGAATTCCAGGACAGGAGAAGCTGCTTTTGTAGTTAGCGAGCCATTCACAGTCTGTTTAATCCACACACCTCCAGATCAG